ATAACCCTATATGTCCCCTTTAAAGGGACCTAGGGTTTCCATTTTATTTTCCATTATCCCTATATAACCCCTAGGACCCTTCACTGCAAGGCGGGAATAAAAAAAATCCTATGGCTAAGGGTTTAGGGTTTAGGGTTTAGGGTTGAGTCCTCCATCGCTGGAATCCATGGACACAAAGCCACATATTTGCCGGTTATTAGTAGGTGTAGGGTTTAGGGTTTAGGGGGGGTACTGCCCACACCCAGTAATTAACAGTCTATGATAAGGGCAATATTGAAGGCTATATGTATATATATAATTTCAGTATAAGTATTCTCCAGCTGTTGCTGAGTGGGGGCAGTACCCAAGCCAGTAGTGGGGAAGGAGGGAATAGAAGGACAATGGGAGCGACTACGTTATCAGAGAGTGTAAAGTGGCTACTTCCTCCATTCCGGTCTAAGGACCAGCAAGTGTAGCTGATCTTACGAACCCTACACTGAGGGGCCAAGTACACAAACATTTGCTGCGCTTGAGACGCCCCTTTAAAGGGGGTTGTAGGCTTTGTGCTTTAAAGGGGGTTATAGGGCTTATGTAAGGGGCTATGTGGCATCATATAGGTGCGTACGGATTTAAGGATAAAGGGATATAGATGGATTGCACAGTCACAATGGATGTATAGAGATATATTGGGTTCAGGACTTGAAGGAGAATGATTAAAGGTGTCACTTTGGCGCTTTACGTGGAGGTTCAGTTGTACATGGATGAGCGAACAGATCCACTCCGTCTTTCCGCCCTGAGCACTCATAGGAACAGCAACTCTATATATATATATATGTATATGTCAGGGAGTTGTCCTTTGTACCCTCAGGGTTTGTACGATCGGGTTTTGGGCCCCTCAGGGAGTTTCCAATAATAGGGGTCCCCAAACCCTAACCCCTAAACTAAACCCTAAACCTTGAACCCTATACCCCCAAAATTCTGAGGTTTACAGGGTCTAGAGCTCCCAGCATCAATTCTCAACTCGTATCCCTAAACTCTTAACCGTACTCCCAAAGCCTTAAGTCCTGAGCCCTACAGCCCTAAACCCTAAACCCTAGACCCTGAAACCGAAGCCCCAAACCTTGAGCTCCAACACCTAACTAAAGCTCAAGCTGCTGGGTGCTTGTCTTCTTAGGGTTTAGGGTTTAGGGTGCTCTTTGTGAATCTGAAGCCGTAAACGCTAAACCCTAAACCCTGAAGCCCTGGGCCTCCAGGTCAACAGGATTGTGGACGATCTTCTCGACCTTCTGCACCTGGAGGCAAGATTTGAGCTCTTGGGTTTAGGCTTTAGGGTATAGTCTAAGCTCCTCGTATCCCCCTTAGTAACCCCATAATACGTCCCTGTGGAATGCCCTATATTACACCCTTCAGGAGTTTGGACTATAGCTCATTCAGAGCTAGTGATTGTATGGGGTTCAGGAAAATACCCTATGTTAGTGGCAAGAAAAATGGAAAATGTGATGAAAGGTCGGATTATACAGTGGTTTATAGGGTCTGGATTTCCCTTTTCGGCAGCCCCAACACTTAGGTCTGCAGTGGGGTCTATAGTGCGGTTTAGGGTGTAGGGTTTAGGGTTTAGGATGGCAACCACCATTTAGGGTGTAGGGCGTTTGGTTATGACTTTGGGTCCGGGCTTAAGACTGGATGGAGATGTCAGAAAACGTTGAACCGTCTTTTTGGGGAACAGTAATAAGGCTGGAGCCCAAGGACAAGACCACTGTGCTAAGCCAACTTGTAATACAAGTTTCTGCACTGAAGCACTATGACCCAGCTCCATGGGGGCCTTCGAGGTCTACAGGGCCTGTCATGAATATGTTTGTCAGGATTATGATTGAGCAGTTATAAGTGCCGGAATGGTGAGAAGGGTCTTTTCGGGGTACCGTACTCAAGTTAGGTAACAAGGCACATGGCCAAGGTTCTACGCGACAAGTTCACCACCAGAGAACCGGACAAAAAGGACGGCAAGATTCTTTTCGAAAACTTGCTGTCACTAGTGGGGCTTCCCAGGAATAATGCTTCAGCTTTTGTCTTTTCGGCGGTGGAGGGGGGGAGGCGGGAGGGGTGTCCTATGCCTATAACAAGAACCATAGTACTTGCGGACACACACACATGTATTTATGTATATGTACGTGTATATATATATATCTACATACACATATATGTGTGTGTTTGTATACACATATATACCCTCTCAAAGTTACTTGAAACCCCTTCTCCCAATGTGAAGCAGGATCGCGCGGCAAGTCCCTGTGATTCGTGCCGGCAGCCAAGCTGAAGACAACTGACAGCAACGAAAGCAGCCGTAGAAAGACTTCGATTTGCGCAAACCCATCGCTGCGCATACAGTCGCTGCTAGCCCTTTTGCGCCCTGGGATTTCTTGATTCCTGAAACATCGCGAGAACGGTGCCTCTCAAACAAGCACGAACAAGTCAGCCCAATAGAGGGCTGTCTGAAGAGTAGCCATCCCCATGCAGAGCCTCAAATATAGTAGGCTTTGGCTCCTTATAGAAAATGGGAGAATGAGAGCAGGAGAAAGGGGGGAGGGAGAGAGAGACAGAAAGAGAGACCCGCACAAACAAGCAAAACACATCTTCAAATGACCCAACAATTGGCGTCTCAAAAATGCAGAAGTCCTGTACACCATGCCCTGAAAATGTGCACATCGCTCTCTCCCACGAAGCTAATGCTTCGTACGGCTCCTGCAGTTTCATCTTGAGGCTTTTTTGTGGTACCTATACTCTATAATTAAGGAAACTGGGACCACACTACTGGCAATTAGTTGACCCTTTGCAGCATGTCAGTAGTTGACCCTTTGCAGTATGTCAGGGTGGGGGAGGCCTCGCAAATTTCAAGCGCTTCTGCTTGAACTTTGCACGCTTACAATGTATTCCTTATAATCCCTGTATAATCCCCAGTGATGCTGTAGTTTCCCTTTTCTCTTCCATTATCCCTACATAACCCCTATCTATAATCCCATGACCCTCCGCTCATCAGCTCTGTGGCTTAAGGGGCCCATCGAACCTACATGAGAGCTCACGGGTTTCATGATGCTTTCTAAGCCCTGCAACCCTTACGGAAGAACTGCTCTAGAGCCCCGGAATCTCTGCATCTCCCGCGTTATCCCCATGGCCGTTAGTTTTGCATGACCCAGAACTGCCAGGGCCTTGGGCACGTGCACAATTTGCTCCACCCTCTGCTCAACTGGGACATCGACAATCTCCTGGCAAAGGGCTATGTGAGCCACTGGCGTTCAAGCCTCAAAGTTATTGGGCTTGTGTGTAGTCATCTTCAGCAAGGTATCTATAGCGTTAGCCACTAAACATCTTCTCAAGTAAAGCATTGACCCTAAACCCCTAAACTCCCTGTAGTCGCAAGTGCCGCTCTAGCTGCTGTGTAGGAACCCAAGGAAGCATCTAACCACAGGCATATGAGCCATAGTCTTAACTCCTAGTATTCCCCAAAATCACCCCTGTAATACTCCCCTTTTCTAATCCCCAATATAACCCCCTACTATATAACCCCCATTAAGGAGTCTAGACTATTCAATAATTCCAAGAGAAACCCTTTTGTAGCTTCCACACGCAGCGGTTAAACGCTTTCCTTGTCCCCCTAGCCTATGATTGCCAGCCAATCTTGATGTTGCTACCAGCATTCTCATCGGGATAATGACAATAACTATGTAGGGGGATCATAAACAGGGAGCTTCAATATAGACCCCAACTATCCCTAAACACTAAAGCCTAAACCCTAAACCGTGTCCATATGGCGGGTACCATAGTTGAGAATCAAAGGCAAAAGAAAACGGAACATATCATGGACGCTGGGGATAAATGGGTTGTATAGGCTGTTCAGGAACTTCACCGGCTGTTGAAAAACAACCTCAGTCATCGTTATGGGTCCAAATCAGGATCATTTTTCGTATTCGAAATATCGCAGGCCGTAGTATCATGGGGACCCGAAAGGGGCCGGGCTATTGACAATCTATCGAACTTCATTGATCCATATTATGATAACTGAGCAACAAGGCCCACACGTCAGGCGCCGGGGAGAATGAGAGATGTCCCTAGCAGACAAGTAGGACTACACTCCCCCTTAAGTAGATAGAATATGGGGTATACCCAAACCCTGAACGAGGCTTTATCAGTGAAACATTTTGCCAAGCAGGAGTTTAGGGTTTAGGGTTTAGGGTCTAGGATTTAAGGTTTAGGGTCATGGTTCATCAATTACAGGGCCAAACCCAGACTCAAGAACTCACAGCAAGGGTTCCCATTGCTACAAACCAATGCCATCAGACTTTCTCACAATCAGGGGTCCATGCCCTAAACCCTAAACCCTAAATCCTAAATCCTAATCCCTGAACCCTAAGCCTTAACCTTAATACCCCAATGGATATTCAGTGGAGGCCCTAAACCCTAAGCCCTACACCCTAAGCCCTAAACCCATGTTCGGGAGTCTTTTTAACCTAGGCTTGCAATTGTGTATTTAGGGGTTGACGGTTAGGGGGGAAACCGACTGCTCCTGGGCACCCGAACCTTCTTTCAAGGCTTGGCAGGTCCGGGTTTGTTGCAATCATCCCAGGATCATTCCCTAAATGGTCACTATGTAGTGCCTACACCCTCCCTATATGGTAGTTTCCCAAAATAAGGGTACCCCAATATAGACCCAAGTATATTATAGCCCGTATTTAATAGGGAACCCCCCAAAGAGGTACCCCGAATTTTGGGAAACCCCCATGTTATAATAAACTACCCTAGAAGCCCAGTTTCCATTTAATTTTCCATTTGCTTTTCCATTTGATTCTCCATTATGGGGGGTAACATCCCTATATCCCCGCAAAATATAGATAAGTCCCCCTAAACCCTCAAAAGTTGTAATCAAGCAGCGCGCCTCCACATGGAAGTGGTGGTTTCGCTCCTGCTGCATCACCTTGGGAACGTGCACCACTTGCTCCTGACAACGTCACTTGCAGACTTGGAGGTTCATGGGTGGTTAGAAGCAAGGTCATGTAGGGATTTCCCAAAAATAGGGGTACCTTTTGGGGTCCCTTGAATAAGGACTATAGTATCTTTGGGGTCTATATTGGGGTTCCCCCTCTTTTGGGAAACTACCATATAGGGCTTAGGGTTTCAGGGTTTAGGGCTTAGAGTTGAGGGTTTCAAGGTTGTGAAGTATCTTAGCCGGGGCCATATCTGGTTGTTAATATGATGATCCTACGTATATCCCCAAGTGAAACATTCCATGAACCTTCAACTCAGTCCTAGGGTGGAAGCTACAGGCGGCCAGCCGTCTCTTGATGGAAAGAGTCCTGCATGACTCTCAGTATACTATGGTACTGCCTCATCGTTAGGGTTAGGTGTAGAGGGTCATGCAGGATTTGACCATCAACCGCCCCGATACCCGATGACAGCATGCTTGCTGTTAACAACCATCCCAGGTGGACTTTCATATGAGGCTTATGCAAGAAATTGCAACGTACATGTCCCTCCAGCGTAATGTAAGGGCAGAGAACACATTGCATCTTCTCGATGAAGTCCATCAGAGTTCAGGGAAACGGCTGGCTGAGGATCACTGAAGCAAAAACCCTAACCCCGATCACAAGCTCCTAAGCCAAACTGTAACCCCTTTCAAAAATGGAATGTTTATCAAAACGACCCCCTTAGTAATCCACACTAGGGACCTCTGCCACAACCCCCCTCCCCGTCATCCCCAGCATACACATATACTTGCTGAGTTCTCGTGTTGAGGGAGGATAGATCCCTGTAGCAGCACTGGAAATACTCCCAAAAATGTTAAGGGTTTAGGGTTTAGGGATTCTTTTCCCTAGACCCTAGACCCCATGTCCTCATAGTAGCTTTCTGTAGTCCGGCTACTTACAAATCACCTTCCCTCCATGATGAACACCCCTCATAATAACTACCGCCGGTATACGGTCGTCATGCTATATATATATATATGTGGTGAATGTTTATCATAAGAGGGCTTATCATCAGGGGCGTGGAGTTAACAGTTAACAACCAGCAAATACAGGATCCACTGAACACGAAAACCTACACCCTACACCCGAACCCTTAATCGCGAGTTTCCATCCTGGCTCATTGGAACGTGGACTTCCACAACCTGCTCAACGTGCTGGTGGACGATGCGCTCCTTCAGGTTTAGGGATGAGGGTTTAGGGTTAGGTGTTTGGGGCGCAGCAAAATCAGAAGAATCGAGGCGCATCTAGGGATTATGTTGGGATATATAGAGATTATCAAGTGGTTGCGTAATACTGTAAGGGTTAATTATGTGAGATTTTACAGGGATTGGGATTATATCATACAGGGATGTGTTGGCGTTAGGGTGTAGTGTTGAGCCTAAAACACATAATGCTCCTTGTACTTAACCCTTATACATCCTTAGGGTCCCTTACGGCCCCGTGTTTTGCGAAACTCTCATAATGTTATGTCTAGGCTGAACAAGGCAGAACCTACGTTTGGGGATTTAGGTCTCAGAACGCAAGTCGAGAATCTCCGTCGCATGGCAGATAGGGGGCTAAACAACATGAACCCTTGGCACATTCCACAGGGGGAGCCAAGTACATAAACCCTACAAATCTTATGTGTCCCTATATATCCCATACGTATCCCTATATACCCCATATATCCCCGGTTTTGGGAAACCTCCACATTTCGGGTTGTGGAACTCCCAAACTCTTTAGGGTTTAAAGCAACCCTCCACTGCACTTAATCACCCCATCATTTGGGCACAACAACTAAACTCTAAACCCTAAAATCCCTAGACCCTAACCTCTAAACCCTAACCCCAAAACCAGACTCAAATTAAGTCTGGGAAGGGTGGAGCTTCTTGAAATGATTGGTGCCTACAACAAATAACCTCTCATTCTATCATATATACAGACGGGGAGCGTGCTCAACGATCTTGGGCACGTGCACCACCTGCTCCTCCGCAGCGCCCAGGGACTAAAACCAAAAACATTAATGCTTGTTGGCTCACCGTGACTCAAATCTAGGCCACTAAGGGATTGCTCCACGGGTCCAAGTGCTTAATAATTGGGTACTTGGGATTTGGGCACTGGTAATCCTAGTACGGCATTGTTGGGTATCAACTTTTCCGGTTTAGGTTTTCATCAATGAGGCTCGGCGTTGGGAAAGATCAGTTGAGGATCGCTCTCCCAAACAAACACGGAATCCCATGTGAGCTATAGTCTAAACTCCTAGCATCCCCCTTAATACGTCCTATAGTAGTCCCCTATATTATAGTCCCCTAAATAACCCCTTTAAGGAGTTTAGGCTATAGCTCATGTTGCAATTTCAGAAAGGCGGCGGTCCCTGAAGGGCCCAACCCTAAGCCGAAGACCCCTTTGGGGTTTAGGGCTTAGGGTTTAGGGGGCTCCATGAAAGTTCCAGGGAAGGGAAGGCTCGCAGCGGTGAAGGGTTTGTAGGCCAGGGTTTGGGGTTTAGGATTAAAGTGGTCCATGCACCCAGTACTTGAGTACGTGGGATGTTTTGTAGGCGGCTGTTGCAGTACAAGTCTTGGGGAAGTGCCCTGACTCTTCTGGCTAGGGGCTGGCGTTGTTTCTCCAAGCTTCAATAAATAGGATTAAACGCCCCCCCACCGCCCCATGATACTAAATTTCTCATTGGTAATGGAACTGTTTAATGTGGGTATGCTTAGGGGAGGTGATCAAAAGTATAAACGGGTACATGTGGGAGCCGTGGGATATATCGAGACTTCAAGACGCATTAAAGGGGCCCATCAGGAATTCGATGGGGGCAAATTGTGAGAAGCTACCATGTAGCTATGGTTTGGGGTTTAGGGTTAGGGTTTAAGGTTTAGGGAAGATATCTCACAAGCTACACGGAGAGCCCAAGACGCCTTGAGGAGAAACCTTCCAATGTCAACAGCATCCAATGTGATTTAAGGAATGTTCCAGAGTTGGTATTGGCCTCCCTGTTATGCATGCAAACTTGAGTCACCCCCTAAACCCTAAACCCTAAAGCCTAAACCCTAAACCCTAAACCCTAAACCTAGAGATGCCGCATCTACAACAGTCACTTTTAGAGATTGCACGGCTACCTGGTTGTGACTTTTCTTCTCTGGCTAGACCTTGGCTGAAGCAAGGGTTTAGGGTTTAGGGTTTAGGGTTTAGGTGATCTTACTCTAGATTGCCCTGAACCTAAGTAAACCCTTCACCGGCTGTAGTATTCCCAACTAAATACTTAAAAGTCACGTGTGAGTTCTGGTCTGGAGCGGTGGAAGCGGAAGTAGTGCTGGAAAGCAATATGAAGTAGGAGTCATTGTGGCTCAGGGTTCAAGGTTTAGGGTCATAGCTATCACTAGTACAAAAAAGTGGGGAGCTGGTGCTAGCGGAAAAGTTCTGATACATGGCACCCGAGCTCAAAACAGATCCTCAGCAAATCCCAGTAAAAGCAGCCCCTAAGAACAAACTGGCCTTTGGTTAGCTGGGAATGAAGGAATGGATCCGTATAGTAGACTGTATATAACTATAACCCATTATAGTAGTTTCTATTTTCCTTCATTCCCAGCTAGCCCAAGGCCAGAAAATACCTCGGGGTATCTTAAAGACCCGTGCTCCGCGCTAGCCAACTTGTGAAGGTTGCGCAAGATGGGGGTAGAAAACCCAGAAACATGTGGGGCATACGAAGACAATTAGCAGACCATTCTTAAGGAGCATGAGCATAGTAGGGCAACTTCGAGACACGTCCAGACATTTGTACCCTAAACCCCATAAACCTTAAACCCTAAAACCTAAGCCCGGCCACTCTTTTGCAGCTGACCTTCCTCGTTATATTTGGGAACGCTGTCGTGGTTTGCTACTTTAGGGTTTAGGGCTTAAGGTTATGAGGAGGTTGGCCATGTTACGAAATGGTCGTCAAAAGAGAAGCTGCGCCGCGCAGCGGTTTTGCGCGCAAAGAGTGGCCCCTGGTTGAAATGTCTTCATAGACGGATTACAAGGTCCAGACAGGGGGGTTTTATCTGAGGGGGTTAATGCCTTATAGAAAGAGGTATACGCCAAAACATTAATTCTCCATGTACGAGTCCCCTAAGTGCACCCTAACTGCGACCCGCTTGTTGAATACTCCAAAGCATGGATTTGTATATCTTATGGTAAAGGTTATGAGTCACGAACCAGGAATAATATTCCTGGAGCTAAACTGGGTAATTTCTCCACATCGCCGTACAAAATCCGTAGAGGAGCCGCTCATGACAACTATACCCCGGGGTCTCTGAAGCTGGGAAGCTACACTCCTTCAAGTTCAAACCTTACATTGTCAACCCTAAACCTCCAAACCTTCATCCTCATAAACCCCCAAGCTCTAAACCCTAAACCCAGCACCGCTGCGCATCCTGAGTCTGCGGGATGGGGACCTCCACAACCTGGCGCTGCACCGGGTCCCTCTTTCTTCTGGGGGGCAATATTGGGACTATGCATGGGAACGCAAGGATAGGTAGGAAAGTGCAGGAATATGTAGGGGTATACAACGATGAGTAGGGGGGAGTAAACAGTATATATACGATCTACACACACATATATATATGTGGGGACATACAGAGAGGAAAACAGAGAAGCAAAAAACAATAGGAATAACGTAATGCTTCCAGTGAAGCAGGCTGATTAGGAAACACTACCGTGTTAACAGCAACTAGAAGGGGCGTTGGAATGTCCCAACCCCCTATGAACCCTTAACACTAAACCCTAGTTACCCTAAACCTTGATTGGGGAAGGGTCTACATTTGGTTATACTTTTTAGGGAAGCCATGGGAAACTACTACATTAATTTCTTGGGTCATGAGACTGTCCACAGCCTTGCCCAAAACCCCTGCGCCCAAACGACAAACCAAATTGAGCAGCCACATGTGCAGCAGTGGGCCCAACTTGCGTGTGCTACTCTGATAACGCCTTGAAATCCGAAGAGAAGGACATGTGAGCTTGCTCCCCTTTCCTTTAGAATCCCATTCCTCCACTGAATCTAGCCAGAGTTGAAACTGCCTGACCTCTGCCGTACCTACACTTCTCCGGAACACTACGTATCAATACCCATGGACCTACAAGCGCCCCCGAACCTAAACTCATAAGGATCGGCCTGCTCCACATGCTGGTGCATCACGCGCGTCTGCGTCATCACCTTTGGCACATGCACCACGGTCTCCTGCAGCTCCCAGAGGCACGCTTCCAAAGAGGTATGTTTCCATAAGCGTAGCTCCTAGACACTAAACCGCGTGGGGGCCTGTATAATCACCAATATCATGTCTAGGTCTATTCGAGGTAGCCTGTATCATCATTATGCCAGGAACCTAGGACAATAATATTGCTCAATTTCGGTGTACAGCCCATACATAATGTTTCTTACCATTTCATTGTCGATTTGATTCTCCATTATTGGCGGGCAATTAGGACCATAATCTTGGTATTTTCAATAATTGTTTAGCCTTTTACACTATAGGGCTTATAAGGCTTAGCATTCAGCGGTTGCCTGCGCCAGTTTTCAACCTACCTATGGTAGACCCGTGTTGAATTCTTTGCGCATCCTTCTTTGGGTGCTGTTTTTGTCTTGAGAGCAATCGTTTTATGGCCTCGGGCTTTGGATGACGGGAGGGGGCTGGATGCAGAGATTAAAGACTCGCATGAACTTGCTTCATCTGAGAAAAAATCCGCTCAAGCATCCGGTGTTAGGATCAGAGTTGATCAATTAGAGTATACCAGAATTGGAGATACGGACATTTAGAGCGCACCAACTCAGGATAACATTACCCATCACCCGGGCACTGTCTGGGCTGCAACTTGGGGAGCATGTTTTCTTTGCTAAGGCAACAGACCGTCAGGGTGGCGTCGTAACCTCGGTGTACATTATACATATCCTATTGGGACATGTCTCTTCTTATCGGGACACTTCTGTGATGGCAAAAATGACCGCCAGCCACCCGCGGATGAGGCATGCACCACGCTAACCCCGCGAATGGCTTCGGAACTGTCGAGGCTTTTATGCAGGATGAAGCAGCCACAACCACAAACAGTGCGTTGGGGCTGGGGGCAACGCAATTTCAAAATGTAATGTCACGCTCCCCGCCCAGCGTACGTGTTCAACACAAGTTGAGGGAAGTCTCTGGTCTGGCTCAAGTGTACACATGAAGTACCAGTGATTTTTGACATCATCGTGTTGTTCTTCCCGCTAAGAAACATCGAAACCAAATGATGCGCTGGCGAGCCCTGGACACTTCACCTTGAACCTAACACCCTAACCCACAAGCTTGAAACTCTTTGCTGGCCAGCGCGGCCCTGCTCCCATAAGGCTATGCTGATCGTATGAGAGCTTCTGCAAACAGGGGTCCCTCAGGCACCCTAGGGCCAGGAATACATGGGAAATGCAGGAGCTTGTGAAGAGTCCCTACTATGGATTCAAGAAGGGGGTGCTTCGGAAAAAAATCATGTGGGTTTCTGATGAAGGGCGCCCGAGAGGAGATAAAACATAAGAATAATAATCAAAATCATATACACAAATAATAACCGAGTTTAAGACTAGTAATAATAGAGGGGGTTCTCAAAATGGGTGCAAGTAGATTCCTGGGATCGCCCTTCGGGATGACGAGAGTTGCTTGTGAACTCCCATGCCTTTGTTCCGGCCACTTGAGCCCCACAACGAAAACTTCATAAAACCTTTATTTCTAAAACGCGCAATTATGCAGATCATTCTGTCTTTGGGGCTCAATGCTATCCTGTTTCGAGAAATGCTGATAGGTTGTAAACCTGAAACCCTCAATGCTATAGGTAAACCATTCCAAACCCTCACAAATCACCTAGAACCGTTAGGAAGGATACTAGACTTTGAAGCATACATTTGTTCAGAGGGTCCAAGCACCCAATAGGGTGCTTGGATTTTAGGTAATAGGAATTGTCGTGCAGATTTTGGGTAAGTATATGATTATTGGGTACTTGGAACCCTAAATCCTAAACCCTAAATATTCCTATATACCCCCTTTGAAAGGGACCTAAGTATCTGATGATTACGTACTTGGACCCTTAGGGTTGGCCCTTCCACGTAGGTTCGGAGAAGGTATAGATTCCGAGACATCATGTTCGCGGTTTAGAGTTTACTGTTTAGGGTTTAGGGGTTAGGCGTTTAGGGTTTAGGGGTTTAGGGGTTTAAACCCTAAACCCTAAACCCTGGGGTTTAGGGGCTTCGGGTTTGAAAAGCCGGGTCCTGGCTCATGGGCACTGGCACCTCCACCTCCATGGGACACGGCTTTGGGGGGTTCAAGGTTCAGGGTTTTGGGTTTCCACTATTTAGGATTTAGGGGTTTCGGGGTTTAGGGTTTAGGGTTTAGAGTTTGGGGTTTATGGTTCAAGGTTCAGGGTTTTGGGTTTACCTACAGCCCCAGTTACCTACAGCTTAACAGCAATTACCCCTAATTAGCAGGTATATAACTCAAAAAACTGTAGGTAATTGGGGTTGCAGGTAGGATTGATGGTGCAGGGTTGCAGGTTTACGGTCTGGAGTGTTGAGCACACATGAATCACCTCCCCCTTTTATCAACAGGGCGCTCCCAACCCCATCCCCTTCAATATGACTCGTTACAGAATGAGAGTACTTGAGCACTAGGTATTTGAACAGGGAGGGGGGTGCGCTGTTTTGTAGTAGGGGAAGGGATGAGGATGAGGGGGCTAGATGTCTACGTATATGCCCCCAAGATTCATGGGGGTCCCCAATCTTGGGGGGGAATGCAGCAAGAACGAGAGACTCAGAATTCTGTAGGATCCCCACATAGGGCTGGGGAGCCCCTAAACCCTAAACCCTAATCTCCGAGTCAAGCTTGGTGAGTATGGAGGCATCAAAAAATCATAAATGTTACTGCAGGGATCATGCTCAGTGAAGATGAGAAACCTACTCAACCCTTTGTTCGGTGGTATTGCCTAAACCCCAAGCCCTGCCTTTAGGATTGAGGGCCAAACCGCTCTGGCCGCGCTGGCTTAAATTCCGAAGTGTGCAGCCCTATGAGAATCGGTAATGGTAGTTCTCCCACGGGAGATCCCCCAAGTAATGAAGATGTAGTAGGAACAGTAGAGTCATTTTCTGAAGAACATTCCTCAACGTGGCGGATCCTTGTTTTTTCCTATGTAACTGGGTGTTCCAGGACACCAGGAAGTTAGAATGAACCTGAGGACACTGCAGGAGCACAATTTCAGGAGCCACAACTCAAGATAACCCAGGGACAAGTCGTAGCAGCTTCTACATTTTGTGCGACGCGGAGCTCTATCAGAAGAATGAAGCTTCGATCAATCCTTGAGTTCATGCACGCAGGAATCAGCAAGTCCGGAATGCGTCTTCTTTCTTGGGCTTTAGTACTAAAAGCTAAAGGGGATGGTTCCCAAAACTAGGGGTACCTCTTTGGAGGTCCCCATAATAAGGACTATAGTATATGGGGGTCTATGTTGGAGCCCCCCGTTTTGGGGCAACCCTCAAATCAACAATGACCCAGAGAAGAGATTCATACCCGCCTGCAGCCCGAAACAATCGACTGAGGCCCAAGCTCTGAAGTCAGAGTTTCTAAGAATATGGAGCCCCTAGGGACCCTAGGTTTAGGGTTTAGGGTTCATGGTAAAAATAGAAGGTAACCATAGGGCCCCCATTCAGGATCACAACAGAGCTGTTTTGAGAAAGTTAAAAAACTGCGAACCCCTTCCGAACTTCCAGGCTAAAGCCTGTGCCTAAACTCCCTCAAAATCAGTACCGAGGGAAATACGTATTACCCTCCTCGACCTAAAATGGAACTCCATGGAGCCCGTTTGTAACAGGACTATAGTCTACATAGGGCTCCCTCTTGGCCTATGCACCCCATATCAGGTGGCTGTTCTCTTAATATTCATTCCCTAAATCACCTAATCCAGCGCCGGCATATGCACCATAAAAAGGGTCCCCAGAATCCATCCCCAAAATCCACCCCACACAAAGAAAGGGTAATAGGAAACTCTGGCACCGTTGACCAGGACAACCATTCCGTAAACCCGATTACCCCAGCATGCTGCTCGGACCCATAAAGGCACCCCCATGTTCACACTCCCCATGTGAGCTCTAGTCTAAACTCCTAGTATCCCCCGTATTAATCCCCTATACAACCCCTTTAAGGAGTTTAGACTATGGCTCATGTGGGCATGCTGCTCCACATGCTGGTGAATCTGCCCTAGGTGGAGCCACACAGTTCAGCTGAGGGTTTAGGGACTGGGGTGCGGTGTAGGGGCCAAAGTCCTTAAAATCGACGTCCGGGCATATTGTGAATAAATTGGATGTTGCAGGAATTGCAGTGGCGCATATCCAGGCCTCTACATTAGGGTTTGGGGGGCTGTAGACCCCAAACCCTGAAACATGCAGGGTTTGAGGGGAGCCTCGAGCCAAGAACGGGACGTTTGTGAATGGTTACTTACAGTACGAGCTCGCAAAATCAAAGCGATTCAGGGTTTAGGGTTTAGGATACCCTCAGAGATCATACGGAGAAAAGTGATGATGCGGCCATGGCTGCGCATCCAGGAGCCTAAGAGTCCTGTTGGCGCGGCATGGACACTTCTGATAAAGGTCGGGATTCTTGGGGCAGGAGCACTCTGAGCAGAGTCTGTATATCTACCTGTAACCCCAACTACGTACAGCTTTTATGGGTTTGACCTGCTTCTGATCGGATAGCTGCTACTAAACTGTGCGCAATTGGGAGTGCAAGTAAACAGAACTCAGTAGGAGCAGCTTCTCTTGAACTTTCTTCACCCGATTTTCGATTTTGCGGAATTCGAGGTGTTTTGCTACAACCCCTTAGATGTCTCCTATATAACCCTATATATCCCTTTAAAGGGACCCCATTTTGTTTTCCATTATCCCTATATAAGCCTGAACCGACACCGCATGCATGAGCTTCAAGGACCCAACTACGTTGGGTTGAGGGTTTAGGGTTTAGGGTTTGAAGCATGCAGTGGTGATCCTTATGCCGACAAATTTCCTTCAGAAAAGCTGCGACCTTGGGACCTCAACCACCTCAAAACCTTTAGTCCCCCTTAAGTGGATAGAATATAGGGGCTTTATTGAGATAATGGAAAAGAAAACGGAAACTACTATTTAGGGTTTAGGGGTATAGTCCCCCTCAAGCAGTTAGAATATGGCT